GTCAAAGTAAGATGGTGCAACCCAGCCATAATGTATCTGCTGAACAGCGGAGATGTCGTGGCATGTCTTGAGTGTGGCTTGACGGTTTCACGCTTGTACCGCGCAGCTCTACCTCTGCTAACTCTACATATAATAGGTGTCAAACATAGATACTACATAAAGGTTCAGCCAAACCAACGCGAGCAGCCTGCGTGCGCGATGGCGATTGCGATCAGATGTTGGGTATGAATTTGTAGCGATGAGTTAACATCAACGCGTCCTGTCACTTGTCGCGTCCTGTCCTTGTCTACGCACGCTCAGTGTTCGCCATCGCCATCGCCGACGCGAGCTGCAGACGTTGGTTTTGCCGAAGATTTAACCATAGAAAAAACTCTGCTTTAACGGCCAAACCAACGCGTGCATATCCTACTGATTTCTACTGATCGCCATCGCCACATCACCATCGCGCACGCAGGCTGCACGCGTTGGTTTGGCCGAACCTTAACGCCACGCTCCGGCGTACTATGTATTTGACATAATCTCTACGAATGTTGTGATACAGTCAGCGTCAAATAGTTCGGGACACACTAAGGCTGAGTTGCACCACCTAACTTTGACGGTAACTATAACGATAACCGGTGCTTTTTGTATGGAGTTTGACAGATATTTGACGTTTGATAAAGTCAAAGTAAGATGGTGTAACCCAGCCTTAGTAGCCAGTAAGTTCGCAATACGTCTTTGTTACAATTGGAATAAGATTGTGTTGTCAATTTCTTAGGCACTTTGGGTGCCACGAACTACATTGACGCTGACTGTACACAGAGAGCAAGAAATAAAAACGCCCGTTTCATTATGGTCCTAAAAACCGCAATCAAATCTCAACTACTGCTCTATCAACATCATATTATTACTATTTCCCGAACAGTACTACTATCTCTGAACATGTCGAAGTGCAACCACGCGAAACGCATTACCCTCTCTTTGAATCCACCGCGTCTGGTAAAAACGCGCGCAGAAAAAACAGAAGAATAGACGACTCGTTTACAATGGAATGTTACGCCATAGCCATTCTTGGTGTTTGTTTGATTTTCTACCAATGAACCAGTATGCGAGGGCTATTAACTACTAACAACCATCGAGTCCACTTCAATGGTCAATTGCATACGCTCAATTAGACGGAAAATTGTTGTGGGTGTGCATTGTGTTGCCTTCGCCCGAGACGTGGACGATTAGAACACGTGATTTCTGGCATTTTTTTTCGCTGGATTAAACTTTTGTATGCATATTATGATTATAGTATAAGTAGGTATGCAATATAATTAGGTAGGCACTTTTAACTGGCCGTTTACGATTTCATTCCGTTTAGGAATTTGTTCCTAAAATTTACCTAAAATGTACCTATTCATTGTTACAATGCTTCTATTTCTTTTATTTTCAGGGTACATAAAATGAGGGCAATACCTAAAGTAATACCAATAATGTTTTTTTTAAATGATCTGTGATATGATTTATTGATAAAAGAATATTTTATGAACGTCGATAAAATAAAGATGTAATTTATTGTAAAGATTTGTCTCATTTATCTTATTACATTATTGGTTAAGTGAAATACGAGTTTAGACCGATATTTTTAATAGAGAACATGTACAGTTTGTACAGTGCGTTTTTTTTTCTGAGAACCTAGTATGCTCTTATAAAAAAATACTACATCACTTAAACTTAATATTTATTTTATTTATTACACTATTTCTACGGTGGTTTGAAAAAAATCTGTAATTCTTAAAAATACATATGGAACCACAAAATAATCTCCAGTTTGCAGTAATTAAATTTTCAATCTCTTTACTGTAATTAAACAATTTATAAAGTTTTCAAGCTTAGAATTTTTAATGCCAGAATCTTCTTTCGAATGTTTGTTTTTAAATTTAGTTTGTTGTTATTCTCTACGTTCTAGGCATATTACAGTTACATGTATTGGCATTCTTTCCTACACATCAACTACGTCTTAAAAACATGGTTGTAATGTAATGTACAGTGCATTACTTCCCAAAATACTCTGTCTTGGTGGCCCGAACCTGACCAACAGGTTTCCTTAAAATACAAAATGAACAAAAGAACTTTCATAAATTTTAAGCATGTGATAATCAGTCTTTTATGCCTTTGAACATTAACGTTGACATATTTTGCATTTAATTATATTCTAGTTAAAATTGCAGCCTTTTTGTTAATTAATAAATGCATAATATTACCGCTTGTTGGATGATAAAAATATCTGCGTGAGGCGTAAAAAACTAGATAAAATAAAACAATGTTTTTGACACTTAAACAAAAAAATGTTGAGACAATAAACATAAATGCGCTACTAATATCATAACAATTATTGTAAAAACTGTTAAAATACATTTGGTAATAATTTAGAAACATTTTAAATAGGTTTTAATTTGTTGAACGGTTATTTAAACTTAAACGTTCCAATTCAATCTATCAGTTTAAATTACTTGTAATTACACATAGTGTAAGATGTATAACCGTAGTGTACCGACTATAAGTAGTAAAGTAAGTAACAATTATATTATGTAGTAAAGCATAAAAGACATTAGTGTAGTAACACTGCTGTTTTGAATTTGGAACATGTATAATCTTTTTACATTACAATTATTTTTACGCTCATCACCAAACTTACACTGTATTTATAAAGTGTGACATTTTAGAAATACAGTGTAAGTTTGGTGTTAACACATGTCTATAATTGTATGGAAGTTCACTCAAGTTACATAAACGTGTAAATTGTAAACTGATCTCAAGTTTAGATCTTTATTCCCGAAAAGTAGTATTTTTTGCATACTCTTAAAACTGAACTCATTTATTGAAACCAGAAACGGATGTTTTTTTACGATGGGCTATAAATTAAGAAGTTTAAAGCAAGGGTCAACGTTACCTGTCTGTGATACTTTATCTGATGGCAATCGTTCAAAGAGGCGCCACTTCTATTTTTTTGGTCATAGACTCGGATGCGGGTGACGGCTAAGGGGTCTAGGGATGATGTATGTTTATGATATGGGAGTTATTAAAGGCGATAGTGTTAAATCTGGCAGATGTTTATGTTGGCAAATAAATGTTTATTATGGCTGTTTGTCCGAGTGGGTGTGCCCAGACCGCCCTTCGGCCTCCCCATTGTTTTAGACAAAACTCCACCTTAATTAGCGACTATTGTCCCTCGACGGGAACTTGTTTATAAACTTGTTATAATTAGCGGGAATAACACTATTTTTAATTAATATACTTGAGACTAAGTAAGACGGGATAATTATGGAATTACCTGTGTAGTTTTTTTTAATGTGTGTTAGGCATGTTAATGTAAGACGCATACAAAAATATGAACATTTAAGTATTTGCGAATAGGAAACTAATTTTTTATTCAATTTTGTACTAATGTGAAACCTTTTATCAATAACAACATTTGTTGTTCATTTTATATTGTAAGACTGCTATAATAATATATAATAGGCCTACATAAATAGGTACCTTTTCATGTCATAGAGTAGGTATTATAATAATCAACATAACAACTCATAATGATTTCAAAATTAAATGAGCCACTTTCGTTTAAAATTGCTGTCAGCAATTTACAGAAGATTAACATAAGGTAACTCTATTTGTAATTATATAAGGACTATAACCCTGGCTTTTATTACTCCCGTACTTAAATGTTACTGGTTGTTGCTACTTAAACTATGACTGGACTACATTATCATTTTATAGTCGTACAGACAACAGATGTAAGCCCCATTAGCACGTACCTTATCATCCTCAAATAATTAAACTCCTATTTAAAGAAAGATGTTATAATTAATGCTTGCTGCATTACCCTGCATTTAGGGCGCCGTCGGCTCAAGGCATCAGCAGGTTATCAAAATGTCAAGAGATAATAACAAAAAACAAGCAATTTATTACATGGGCATTAAACTTTAATAACGGACCAAAAATAGCAATAGGTAACCAATTGAGGCCTGGATAAAGCTCTAAAATAGGCTATAATATTAGCTATATCAACATTTTCTCAGTGTAAACATAGGTAGGTAATTTACAGTTCTCATAAATCATATTTTATAATGCGTGATAGAATATTTATAATATGCGAATGGTATATTCAAAGAATGTTGTAAATTAAGATTTCAGAATTTATGTTGTCTAAAAGAAACGGAATAGTAATATTTGTTTTATGAGAACATGTGAATAGAAAACTAGCATTAATATGTGTACTTAATTTAATTATCTTTAAAAGATATGATATCTTCATCAATCCATCTATGCCAAATCCGTTTACCTTGATGAATTTGAAATAATTATTAAAAACAACGTAAAAGCAAACAAAAACAATGTCTAGATTATGGATTTGACACTAAATGTAGAGCTAATGACATATTTTTTTGTTTATTGTAATCTGAGTGCGTTGAATAAAAATAATGTGTATGTAGTGTATTTGATAAACATGTCAAATGAATGTTTTTCAATAAAATTATTCTTTTACTGTAACTACAACTTAAAATTATATACCAATCTTTGTATTATTTTATGCATTCTCTAATACTATCAAATTAAATTTCTTATTAGACATGAATATACACAATTGTTTTGTTTTGTAGTATAAAACATATGTCTAAAACTACTAAAAGCATTAAAAAACCAGAATATTAGCTGATAGTGGTTAAAGAAACAAACTTCTGCTTTACCTGACTCTACATTAGAGATGTACCATCTATTCTTCTTGTTTATTTTGATTTGTGATTATTGTAAACAAAACAAACTATACCATAACTTCAGCTTACGGATATTCTTAAACCATTTTTGTTTTTCAGCAATATTGATGCTTAATAGGTACTTGATTCCAGTGTGTTATGTCATGCTGCATGAACATCAACATGTTTCTGTACAAGAAGTTCTTGTTTATTCAGTACTGATTACATAAAAGTATGTTTATATCCTTGGTATTTTCGATAGGTAGAGATATCGGGACTAACCTGCGAGGCGGGCGGGTACGAATAGCCAAATTGCGCGTACGCTGCCATCGGGACGATCATATGGGCGGCTTCACACAAAACACTGTCTCTCAAAGTCTATACAGCACGGACGTATGAGTTTCCTTATGACTACTGCTAATGCGAAATTAAGTTAACGTATCACAGTTGGTTGAGTGCGCGGCGGCTGCGCGGCGCGCTGCCATCCCTGCGCGTCAGCGGGCCGGTGCGCGCGCGCTACGCATGCCGGGGTCGGGTCGTGTGCGGCCGGTCTTATACCTTGTTGACGCGTTCGAGTCTCGACACAGACTGGCGCGCGTACGCCGCCTGACGCCCCTCCGCTGTAGGAGAGAGCCAATCAAGCCCCGCCTCGGAGGCGGAACGCGCCCGCCAACGCCAATGACGACCCCGATCTTCCATCCTTTTCGACAGCCAGCACAAAATCACGCCTTCCCATTGGCACTTTCTATCCCCACCATCACGCAAACCACGCCTACTTAAATAGCCCCGCCCTCGTCCGGGTGGGGCGCTGGAAAAAAGCGGCAGAGTCGGCCCGACTTGATCATGTTTATGGGTTTCCGTGGAGACAGTCCGCCAGCTCTGTACCACAAGCAAACAAATCTCTAGTGGCAAAAAATGGCTCGGCCGACGACAAGTTGTTTCACCTCGTCAGATTTACGAACATCGCCGTAGCGTAGAGTTAAGAATTTACTTTATAGGCTCTACCTGTGTCGGCGTTGTAGACAACTTTCGCGAACAATTTGTCTTAAAAAAATTTCTATGCTCAAGAATCACACGATGTTTGCTGAGTAAAAAGCATTTCAAATACTACGAAACAGTTTTTCATTTTGACTGTAAAATATTGTTTATTTTTCAAGCTCTACAACAACTAGGTACCTACTCTACTTTTTAAAATAAATTATTATAAATCATTTTTTTACTTCAAATAATGAAAACTCATGCTCTCTATTTTAGTTATAGTTGTAATTACAAATGTTAAATTTATGAAGTAATAATTACACAGAATATTAAATACATGGAAACTAAAAAAATATAATTTTAATCAATAATTAGTAGGTATTTATTTCAGAACAAAATTTATACGAGTAGCCAAGTGTGTGCGCGATTCAAAATGACAAAACGAAAATGATTGCTTGTATAAATACAACCTAGTGCACGTACCTATTTAAGTAATTGACTGTTTTCCCGAGTCGGCATTTATAATGAATTGGAATGTGCTTTCCATTGAAAGGTTTCTACAAAAGCAGAACCATTTAGCCATCTTCACTTTAGGGGTGAAATAAAACGTAAGGCCATGAAATTCGCATAGTAGAGTTTCATAGGCCGCGTAACAGGTGGCGCCCGCATCGCCGTTTGTCATCCCTACGCTACCTACCCTTGCAAAAACGTTACTATCTTCACTTTTATTTTGCATTTGATCCTAATTAAACTTTTACTACGGTGATGTTTTATGCATTGCCAATATCAGAGTTCATAATTCACCAAATGCCTAATGACATAGTAATACAGCAATTTTACACGATTGATCTGTGTTGTTTGTCATTTTCAGCTAGTAATTTTAAAAAACGACGAAAAGAACACTTGAGAACTATTAACTTAACAAAATTGAGCTTTTTTAGATAATTAAGCCTAATAGGTAAAAGTTCGAAACTCATAAACTTTATTTTTCTCTGCCATCTTAAAATAAGATTTATTTTTATCTTTTTAAAATGAACTCGTAGTAAAAAATGTCGCGAAGAGATTAAATGGATCAAAGCTTTTCTAAACTACTTACATTTTTTTGTTTGTTACACTTATTGGTTTTCAATACTAATCGAGATACAACTTCAGGAAAGGCAGTCTAATCATAAACATTGTATTTCATATTGACAATATTTTCTAAGCCTTATAGGTAAGTGGTTAGTAACCAATATCAACTTTTTAAACAAGACAGGAGCTTTTTCTTGTAACTCACCTGTTAATTTGAAGTTAATTCAAAAAGAAAGTAAATTCAAAGGTAGTTTTATGTCATGACAACGTTCGATTGAATGCCTCTTATAAAATATTAAACGATATCAAGTTAAAATAATTCGATTTCAAAGAAAATTAAAAACAATATATTTTTAGTAATTAAAAAATTTAAAAATGCTTTCAAATATATATTTCCATTTTAAACTTGCAACACAGGCGATGTAGATTGTGATAGAGACATAAGTAATATAGTAGAGTAATAATTTCAATTGTTTTTAGAAATTAAACTATGTAATAATAATATAAATCAACAAGTTTTTCATTACACTTGAAACATACTTATATTTGAAATATACATGTGTTAGTTTGTAAAGTAGATTAGTTTCAAGAATAGATAACGTTATCAAAGTAGTCTCTATTTTTAATATACCTACTGTAGCATTTTAAACATGCATACTAAGCTATGAGTTTTACCTCCAACACGTGCAAGCCAATTACACAATACGCCAACACGAAACGATGTTACTTACAGCTTACATGTAAAATAACTGTTTGCGACAGTCATTACTTCTAAGTATTTCACTGAAAGCTCGAAAAATAAAGTTTGCTTTTATAAGGGCTCATTACTGTTACCACAATATTAATAGTCGTGAACGCCCAGCGCACGCTGTTACAGCACAACTCAACGTCTCATTTCCCTCCGTTTGTAAAAAAACTTTTGTGTCACTAATTGCGTATCCATAGCTCTGGTATCAACACATCCGATCGGACGTCTCGGGACACTCCCGGAGCCGACGCTGCAAATGCAACCATGGGACAGGCGCTTAAGGTCGCACCAAAATCAGAATCCCATGGCCTGGCGCCAAGACATCTGTCATCGTTAATAACAAGCAATTTGAGCCAATTTTGCATTTTTGGAATACAACCGAGTGCCCAGGCGTCTCTGCGGGCAGGAAGTTACACAAAAACTAACACTAAATAAAGTAGTGGTTGACATGTTTAAGTTTTTGCCGTGTTACTAATTACGCGGGCGCGGGTAGACGTGCGTGAGCGTTCGCGTGAACCGAACCGCCGAGCGAACGTTAGCAGTAAATGCTAACAGTTTAGATATTTATGAACATGTGTATGTAATTAATTTTTACGATGGATCAGATAACGAAGTCGGTGGGGCGATACGCATGTCGTAGTGTCTTAGGGCTGGTAAATGGGCTTATGAAACAGACGTAACGGAAATGGTCAGACGCATCCCATGCTCCTTAACACCCTTTTCCTACCCCAATCCTGCTTTGCTTTTGCATTTCCTTCCTCTCCTAGGGATACCACAAACCTTGAGGTCCTTAGCCTCCTCAAAAAGTGTGGTCATGGCTACCTTGGGAAAGTACCATGGACGACTGCCCCCTAATTCAAGGTGTGATGCGAACCGTGCCGATGAACGCGTGGCTGAGAGGGAGCTCAGTCTTGAACGGTGCCTGCCCGAGACCAGAGCGATTCGGTGCAGTATTCAGCTCTTCCCTGGGCATGCGGGGCTCTGCCGAGGGTGACCGATTACTTCCCTAGCTACTCGTGGGAACTTTTATGAATACTTTTATAAAAACACCCAAAACTCCTCCCTTAGGGGAACAATTGGACAGGCCTGACGGAGAGCCTTCATTGACCTCCAAATCGCCTTGCTCCAAAATTTCGGAGAGTCTCTCGGCTATGTCTGTGGGGGGCACTAGTGCTGAACCACAAACAGAGTCGACAAAGACCCCGAAAGACACAAAGCGTGCCAGGCTTTGTGGTGCGGCCAGGAAGAGGTTCCGGAGGCTGATTGCAGCGGAACTTGGTGCTGAACAAGCCCTTGCTCTCTGCAGGAAGCCCTGGGATCAAATTCCGGTCGACAATCCCCCTCCCGATCCAAAGGCGAAAAAACGCCTACGTTCGGAGGAAGAATCCCCGCGGGAACAGCCGAAGAAAACCTCTAGGCTGGACGTCACGGCAACCCCCCNGGACCGTCACCTGGAGTAGAATTTTTTGATTTTTTTTAAATGCCTATTATTTTTTAAATATGCCACATAGATTTTTTTTTATATTTTTCTGATAACCAGCCTAACTTGCCTCAACACCCAGTTCCGGCTTGACGTTACATTACGGGACACCCTGTATTTCAGAAGCAAGCAATTACTTCATCTAAAGTCACTTTTAATAGGAATTTTTACTAGTTACGAAATTTTATAATACAATAAAAATAGTCTTAGAAACCCCCAAGCCATTTTAAAAGACCTATCCAACGATACCCCACTCGATAGGGTAGAAGATGAAAAAAATTCATCCCCACTTTAAATGTAGGGGAGCTACCCTAAAAAAATCTTTTCAAAATTTTATTCTACCATTTTGTCAGCGTAATTAATATACATACCTCCACAAAATTACAGCTCCCCTAGTGCCAATAGTTTCCACGAAAAACCTCGGACAGACAGACAGACTTATCGAAACTATAAGGGTTCCTTGTCAGGACTACGGAACCCTGAAAAAGAGCTCGTGAAGCACTTTCAGGATCAGTAGCGATTTCTTGTATTAGAAATAATCGAGTGAGATCAAGGGGTCTAGTGAGCGCGTAAAAAATGACATTAAATGTATGACGGATTGTACAGCGCCCCTAGCGGAAACGTTCAAGAACTAAAATGTTTGCTCACTAGAGAGGACGTTTGATATAAACTCACACTCAGCCCTCAGGGAGCGTAGGGTGAGTTTACATCAAAGTCAAACGCATTCGATATCGACTGCGTTTAAAAAATATGTGAAGATTTCAGTTCTTGAAAGTTTCCGCTAGGGGCGCTGTACAATTCGTCATAATTTAATGTCACTTTTTTACGTAGCCTATTTCGACTACATTTGATGTAAACTTGCCCGCAAAACCGGTTTGTGCATTCGATTGCACAAACCGGTTTTGCGGGCGTCGAGACACTCAACAACGCGTAAAAATGTCACTCTTTACGAATATTACACATTAACACAATATTACTTCACCATTACTACACACACACCTATACAAACAGTTTTATCTTTTTATTAGTAATCTTTTCAGTAGTATTCTTAATAGACGTAGTCTTATCATCCTTACCGATTTCCCGCCTTTTGTATTTATCTGTGCACTAATATTACTATTTATGTATGTTTATCTAGACAATTTTATGCAGCTCACTATTTTATTTATTTTACCAATGGTCCGTGACCCTCACTCGGCATGGGGCACACTGAAAACCAGCGCCGTGGCCTTCGTCACCGTGGGCCACGGCATATGCTGAGTGGGGTCCCGTTGCAGTGGGCATCTTGTTGGTGGATGGGTGGCACTGCTCAGTTTGCTCTTGTTTTTATTTTTTCTTCTTTTATTATTATGTGCCACTGTCATGTCTATGTAATTGCCTGTATTTGTGTGATGTCCGTTGTAATAAATGTATCTTTCTTACTTTCTTTCTTTAAACTCACACTACACCCCCAGTTATTTCCACCCTGAGTAGCCTAGAAAGCCTTCCTCGGTAAATGGGCTGTCCAACACAAAAATAATGTTTCAAATCGGACCAGTAGTTCCTGAGATTCAGGCAAACAAACAAACGTGGTTGAGGATTCCGGGTGAAGCTCGCTTCCACCTTCGGCCTGATCGTCACTTAATACAGGCGAAGAGCTTCCTCGTTGTGGATAAAGAAACCTCAGCTTTATAATAACGGACGGGGAGGGAGAATCGCATTCGCAGTTAACTCGACCGAGTTGTAGATGGGTTCTACCCGACTGCGTCAGAAGGAGGGTTATGTTTTTAAATCTTACCTTGCAATTATTGTCTTGCGGCATCGTGAACGTTTGCGGGCAGTTCCCCATGTAATCATGGTTCGCCATCAGTTCATGGTTCCCCATGAGTTCATGGTTCGCCATGAGTTCATGGTTTGTCATGAGTTCATGGTTCGCCATGAGTTCATGGTTCCCAATAGCGGCGTCCGCGCTCACGATATGGTAGTGCCCGTCTGGACCGATCACAAGCGGCTGGAGAATGTAGCCGTTGTTGTTGTTTTTGGTTAGGATCATGCCTAAAAAAATAATAATTATTATAGGTCGCTCAACGAGAGTTGAGGCGATCAAAAAGCAAAGATTTGTATCTGTTTAGCGACAGCGCACATGTGGCGACAAAACGCGGCGATAGACGGCCACAAAACGCTTTTTGTCGCGACATGTCGTGGAGTCGCAACGACAGCTAATATGAAATGACGCGCATGTGTTTTGTGGCCGCGTCTGTCGCCGCGTTTTGTCGCCCAATGTGCGCCGGCGCTTACTGTTTTCGCGCTAAACTTAAAAACACAATACAATATAATATACAACACAATACAAGTTCAGTTATCACGCTTTTGTTAAATGTCTCCAAGTTAGACAAAAAGCACTTGTCAGTCAGCGCAGACAGCGTATACAGATAGAAATCTTTGCTTGTGTTGATTTATTTATTTATAGAAACCAACAGTGATACAGAAAATATTAGCTACAACGAAATAGACTGATCGTATAGCCAACAACAGGTAAAGTAGAATCTGTTTGGAAAAAACAATAACAAAAAGTATCAAATAAGCAATTTTATTCATAACGAATAGCAAGCCCCAACAAGGGATCATGATTCTGTTGATCAATTTTAGTTGAGCGACCTATAGTGTTTATGAAATTAGATCTACCAGCCTTTAAAAGTATGTAACTATGTAGATAAGCAACTGTTGTGAATCAATAAAGTTTTTCATATCTTACCTTCATTCGGTATAACTGCTATTTCATTAGGGTTTGAAGAATCCAGCAGTCTATCAATTGGAACAATAGTGGGCACACTAGGCATCATAGCTGGCATATGCTCCGGCACTATGGGTAACTGTTCAGGGTAGTTGGACTGTAGGGGGTCGTTCATTAGGGGGTGGTTTATAGGGGGAGGGGCGGGGGTGAGGGGAGGAGGGTGCGTGGGGGGTAAGGATAGGGGGTCTTCTTCGTCGTCTATAATTACTATGTTGTCTATTTCGGGGTCGCTGAAAGAAAATAAATAAATAAATAATAAATAAATATCCTTGGACATTTTACACTGCGCTTCTAGTCCCAAACTAAGCAAAGCTTGTACTATGGGTAGTACCCAATGGGTACTATAGTCTGGTCCGGGAGTAAGTAGAATTTTGTCCAATGACCCCAAGCTACCCATCCTTATCGCTCGCGCGTAATTGTGTTGCTGTCGCGCTCGCACACTCACTGCGGGCGCCCGTCACACAGTCGCGACAGCAATATAATTACGCGCGAGCGATAAGGATGGGTAGCTTAGGGTCATTGGACAAAATTCTACGTGCTCCCGGACCAGACTATAGATAACGGATATAAACATAGAAATGTGTAAAGTTTAATAAAATCCGAAATTGAAGATGACATGTCACATGTTTCTAAGAATTAGATGAATGTATTATTTATTAAAGAACGTAAGAGGTTACTCTTAAAACTAGGGATATATGTAGTTTCGGTTATGGATACGGTTACGGATATCTGTGCTTTAGAATGCAATTTGCAATAATTGTCCAACACGGTTCATTCATGGCCGCACACTGTACATCTAATAAAAAGTAATGACACAGCTTCCTCGTTGTGGATAAAAAGAAAAAATAACTTACACGGGCTCGGGCGGCGGGTGGTCAGGCGGCCGCGGCGTTTCAGGGCCCGGGCACAGCTCCACCTCGTCGCGGTCGGCTTTTTCCTGGAATAGGGCAGTTGAAAACTATTGATAGTGAGTTCCAATTAAGTTAAAAGAAGTTTCATCTACTATCCTTAAAACCAATAAAAAAATATAATAAATCGATAAAAAAATCATGACGGTCACTAAAAAATATCGATAGTTTAACTGTTACAACGGGCGAGCGAAAGNCACTTTATTATTTAAAGAATCTGCATTAATACATTAATATTTCCTAATTTACAAATGACTAATGCCCAAAAATCTAACAAGCGCGTCAAAAAATGACATTAAATGTATTTATTTATTTATTTATTTTAGAAGGCTGCTTGAAGGCTGTATGACGGATTGTACAGCGCTCCTAGCGGGAAACTTTCAAAAACTAAAATTTTCATACATTTTTTGTGAGCGCGTATGTAAACTCACACTCAGCCCACTGTTTTGTTTTTTAACTGTACTTTAACGACAACAATATATTTATTCGTGCTCCGGGTACAGTTGCTGCTGTTATTACCTAAAATAATGTTAAATAAAGTCTTTCTTATCTTATAAACTGCATAAGATCCTGGGTTCGAGTCCCGTGATTAGTATAACAGCTCGTATAATACTTATTCATCATCATCAACATCATTTCAGCCACAGGACGTCCACTGCTGAACATAGGCCTCCCCCAATGCTTTCCATGTCGCCCGGTTGGTAGCGGCCTGCGTCCAGCGACTTTCTGCTACCTTTACGATGTCGTCGGTCCACCTTGTTGGTGGACGTCATAAGTTGGTGCCACTGTCTTCGCTACTAGCAAGTGACAGGACCTTACTCTACAGTGGTGCCATCTTGATGAGTGCAAATGCGATAGTCCTCCTACCACTTTAGCGCTCACCAGTTGGTGCCACTGTCTTCGCTACTAGCAAGTGACAGGACCTTACTCTACAGTGACGCTAACTGGTGAGCGCTAAAACGATAGCCTTCATTGCTAAAATTAAGTGGCAGTGGACGGGGCACATAGTTCGCAGAGCCTTGGGTCTTTGACCTATCTGCCAAGTTTCAAGTTTGTAAGTGTTTTAGAAAGAAAGAAAGAAAGATACATTTATTACAATGGACATCACACAAATACAGGCAATTACATAGACATGAGAGTGGCACATAATAATAAAAGAAGAAAAAATAAAAACAAGAGTAAACTGAGCAGTGCCACCCATTCACCAACAAGATGCCCACTGCAACGGGACCCCACTCAGCATAATATGCCGTGGTCCACGGTGACGAAGGCCACGGCGCTGGTTTTCAGTGTGCCCCATGCCGAGTGAGGGTCACGGACCATTGGTAAAATAAATAAAATAGTGAGCTGCATAATATTTTCTAAACATATATAAATAGTAATATTAGTGCACAGATAAATACAAAAGGCGGGAAATCGGTAAGGATGAAAGACTACGAAAAGAATACTAATAAAAAGATAAAACCGTTTGTACAGGTGTGTGCGAGTTTTAGTTTCTAAGATTTCGTGATAAAGGTCCACGGGCTCTAACGACCGTATTCACAAACACAGAGGTCTCACAGAGCGCGTGGACGCACAGGGTGACACACGAACCAATCACAGAGCTCTATTCAACGCTGTGCGTTCGATTAGCTGCTTCACTTAAGCAAGCATCGTTTGTGAATACTGGCGTTACTTAGACCATAAGTAATTAATTCCTTAGCACGGGGTCACGACTCACACTTGAACAATAAAAATTCTTCTATTGATTTATTAACCTTATTGTTGCTATACAATAATCCTACTTATTAGTTATCTTAACAATAAAGGATCTTCCACACTGCATGCGTTCAGAGATCCGCGGTCAGGCCTGCCCACACTACGTCTTCCTATAGGCTGCGTTCACTTTGACCTGACCGCAGAACGCATGTGGCAAATCCTTTGAGGTCGTCGCACATTTAACAACCCGGCAAGGGATCGTATTCGTAACCGTATCAACTCGAGGCGGTCAGTATTCTTTGTATGAAACTCCATACTGCAACGCACACTTATTCGCACCGTAACGTATACGCCTCGCCTCGCGGTCAAGCGTCCACCCTTTTTTTGTCCACACTGCCGGGGGACAGGGTGGTGTGTGGGACTCCCGGCGCCCTGAAAAGGACGATGCTCCGTTCTGAAAAGGACGGGGTATACCCACTAAAACTTCCGCGGCGTTCCGTCATCGCCCGAGTGGGGGTGTCGCGAGTATGTAGCAGTAGCCTTAGCGTCCACCCTACGTAAGCACCGTGACCGTAACGTAAACGGATCAGCAAAATCAGCATCAACTCTGCTAGGATACACAACGCCTTCAGTGTGGCAAGTCCTAAGCATTCAGAATGAAATTCTTTGCCCTTTATGAAATATCAATACTTATTCATAAAAAACCCCAACAAAGAAACTAATAACTCACACGATTTCAATAAAACCAACATGTAGCTATCTGGTATGATTTCAGTAAACAATAAAATGACAATAAAGTATTGTACCTAATAAATTAATAAGTTCATTGAATATTATTGAAAAAAAAAACAAGAAATTATTTACACAATTGCAAATCACAGTTTGAAATAGTCACTATTTGCACAGGGTACAATCACAGTGTGGTATTTGCACAGGGTAGAATGCGATTTGAAAAACCATTGTTTTTGATGGTATATAAGTCGTAGGTAACAAGTTCAAAGCACAAATCGATCCAATATGATCTATTCAGCTGCTTTCTTAGTTGCGGTGAGTACAAGCCTTTTATCATCATCATCAGTCTCCCAGTCTTCACTGCAGGAGCACTTGAATTACTTGACTTAAGGTCCTATGTCCCCTAGATGGGGCAGAGGGCGTCCAAAACAGTCCTCCATCGCGTTCGGTCTTGAGCTTCGCGTTTGATCTCGCTCAAAGTCTTGCCGATTTTCTTCGTCTCTGCTACAGTGCGCCGCCAAGTTTGCATGGGGCGACCACGTTTGTGTTTTCCTTGGGGGTTTCAGGAGCACGACCCTCTCTAATTTACAACGGTAAATCGGGGACTTGGCAGTAGGTACACTCCCCACATTGGCCCAAGGGTTGGGGAGCCCTGATGTTCACATTCATCATCAGGCCATTTAGTATCCACTTCAGGAGCACGATCCTCTCTAATTCACCAATGGAAATTGGAGGATTTGGCTTGCACTCCCCACCCTGGCCAGATGGGTTGTGGAGGCCTAATGCTCCCATATCAAAACCTTGGTTTTGAGACCTGTCATCAGCTATGCACTGGAGGGAAGTCGTACCTACCCTTCGAACTCCTCCTATATTCTTCTGATTAATTTCGTTGCGGGTCCAAAGGCAGTTAACTTTCCCCCGGGGCAAACTTGACCTGCACCGATTGGGTTATTGGTGGTCAAGCTGTAGATCCTGGCTACATAGGAGTTGCAGCGGTGGGAACAAGAGGTGGGAAAAGTCCCGTAAAAGAGTGGAAGTGGCAATATTTTACTTTATCGGAACCTAATGGAAAGAACTTCGTAAAACTTTTGATTTATCCTATTGCTGACTAAACTATATTTTCTTTTGCAGGCTATCGTAGCCGTACAGGCGTTGCCGCCTCGTAAGTATTCAACTTATTTCATTCAATTAAACCATTAACTACGTTTTGAAACCTAACTTATTCGTAGCTGATACCAGTAAACAAATAGGCACTGACTGTATTAGAGCTTTTCTAGAATTTCAGTCTGTCATAAAATACTTTATAGCATTGGTGTCCCTCGTTCGCTATCATCATGAGGATTATAGTGCTTAATTGTATCAGTGCCTGAGATATGGGAGCTTTTGTCAGGGTATTATCAAACGTCAGAGAAACTTCACATATGTGTGCTTCCAGTTTGACCTGTCAAGTCATGTGGCCTCTTCCATGCCGCTCCTACGAACTTAGGCACTGGCCCAGTTAATGCACTAGACTTGTAAATTCCTGCGCTTTTCTCATCATGCTCCCAGTTTTAACTAGGACGTGTACGAGCCCCCAAGGAATTAAAATTCCGTTCTAATCAAAATCAAAATAGAAAATAATAAAATATAAAAAAAATGTATAACAATCGTCGTCCGTCCACACGTCGTCGTACGTCACACTCACACATTCTCTTTCTTTTTCACACATCTTTACGTTCCGTTTCCCGCTCATATCCTAGTATCCTACACGCCTGATTGTATTAAAAATTCATAACTTTTTCAGGAGTTCCATGCGGGCCTGACGTTCCGCCACCATACGTGGAACAGTCCTACACTTCTGCAAGCAGCCAAAGCAGTGCAAGTAGCAGCAGCAGTTCCAACAGCTATGTGGCTAAACAATATGGCGGCACTTACTCTGGATCCAGCAGTCAAAGCCAGAGTTCATCAAATGCAGCTAGCAGTGCTTATGCTGAAAAATACACGGTTAAAGGAAAATACCCACCTATAGTGGGTCCACCTGTGGTGGGTCCACCTGTGGTGGGTCCACCTGTAGTGGGACCACCTGTGGTAGGACCACCTGTGGTAGGACCACCTGTAGTAGGACCTCCTGTGGTAGGGCCACCTGTGATAGGTCCACCAGTTGTAGGACCACCTTCAAGTGGCAGCGATTCTGGAAGTAGTTCCAGTTCTGGAAGCTGGTCAAGTTCTGGGTCTAACTCCAACTCTGGCAGCAATTCAGGATCTGGCTCAAGCACAGGCGCGAGCAGCTGGACTGGCTCAGGATCAAGTACAAACTCTGGAAGCAATACTAACTCCGGATCTGGCACATCTTCCGGCTCCAACACTTCATCCGGCAGCTGGACCGGCTCTGGCAGTAACACATCTTCCGGATCTGGCACAAACTCCGGATCTGGCACATCTTCCGGCTCCAACACTTCATCTGGCAGCTGGACCGGCTCTGGAAGCAACACATCTTCCGGATCTAATACTGGATCCGGATCTGGCACATCTTCCGGCTCCAACACAAGTTCTGGCAGCTATACCGGCTCNATTGGGCTTCTGAAAAGACCCGATGGAACTTTCACTTCATGTGAAAACGACACATTGGAGCTGCTGGCAGCAACCCACTTCCCTGGATCGGTGGGCAGCAATTGCTCGGCGACTACACATAGCAACCTTCGCAGGCCGAAGAATGACGACTGGCGGAGGGCTGCTATAATCATAAGACCCAACCAGGTAAAATGGGCCATCAGCTCCTTTAAACCATATAAAGCGTGTGGCGAGGACAACATATTCCCTGCTCAACTGAAGGAGGGGATGGAAATCCTCACTCCACATCTGGTCAAAATCTTCAGAGCCAGCTTGGCCTGGGGACATATACCGGAACGATGGACCACAGTAAAAGTCATATTCATTCCAAAGGCTGGCAGAAAGGACTACGCCTTGCCAAAGTCCTTTAGGCCAATAAGCCTCTCATCCTTCCTTATGAAGGTTATGGAAAAGGTAATTGACATCTATATTAGGGACGTAGCACTAAAAACGAAACCTATTCACCACACACAGCATGCCTACCGCAGAGGTAAATCTACGGAAACAGCCCTGATCAGCCTGATTGACAGGGTCGAAAAGGCACTGGAAGACAAGNACACTGGATCCGGATCTGGCACATCTTCCGGCTCCAACACTTCATCCGGCAGCTGGACCGGCTCTGGCAGTAACACATCTTCCGGATCTAATACTGGATCCGGATCTGGCACATCTTCTAGCTCAAACACTAGTTCTGGCAGTTATACCGGCTCGGGAAGTAACACATCTTCCGGATCTGACACCGGATCTGGTTCCAATACTTCTTCTGGCTCAAGCACTGGCTCCGGAAGCTGGACCGGCTCTGGCAGTAACACATCTTCCGGATCTGACACAAGCTCCGGATCTGGCACATCTTCCGGCTCCAACACTTCATCTGGCAGCTGGACCGGCTCTGGCAGTAGCACATCTTCCGGATCTAACACTGGTTCCGGATCTGGCACATGTTCTGACTCAAATACAGGTATGATTTTTGTTTAAAATTACGAGTGAATTAATAATAAAGTTATTTTAAATGTGGTGTATATCCTTTCTCAAAGGTGACTTACACCTTTGTTTGTGATCTGTTATCCGTTTCGCACTGCTGGTTAAATTCGTTGAGGGTCTAATGACAGTTTAACTTTTGCCTAGAACAAACATTGCCTGCACTGGTTGGGTTTTTATTATAATTTTATTGGTGCATATTTTACTTCAACACTGAATAATTTATCATATTTATTTACAGGCTCCGGATCCAACACATCTTCTGGCTCCAACACCAGTTCTGGCAGCTGGACCGGCTCTGGCAGTAACACATCTTCCGGATCTGGCACAAACTCCGGATCTGGCACATCATCCGGCTCCAACACCAGTTCTGGTAGTTGGACCGGTTCTGGAAGCGACACATCTTCTGGATCTAATACCGGATCTGGTTCCAACACAGGTATTATTTCACTATCATAACTCATAGTTTCATAACCAAAAGAAAGTTCGTGTTCTCAGAAAATTAAATCAATAAATTAAAAAAAAGTATTTATTGCCTTCGAACCATTCAACATTTAAGTACAGGAAGTTTAGTCTTACAACTACAAAAGAACACTGTGTACAACCCTACGATAGCGAGGTGTGCAAGGGAAAATGAAAGCTATTTTACAGGCAATAGCATCATTTATTGAGATTCAAGCTTAGCTAATAGTTGAACCTGGGTGGGCATACATTTCCAGGAGGTATATAAAGCCAGGAAAAAAATAAATGTTAGCGCGAGCTAAAGGAGCACAGCGCCATCTGTTGTCACAAATAGAAAATAGGTTTTACTTACGATTGTTCTTGGTGGACTTGCTTTTCACTTGACAATCAAACTTTTAAACACCGAAGGCAATTGGACCTGGCTCAGTCTACGTTGCAAAGAGAGATCGTTAGCTATTAATTTGGAGAGGATTAACTTTAACTACCATTTATTTATTTATAGGCTCTAGTTCAAGCACTGGCTCCGGAAGCTGGACAAGTTCCGGAAGCGACACATCCTCCGGATCTAACACTGGTTCCGGATCTGGCACATCTTCTGGCTCAAACACCAGTTCTGGCAGTTACACTGGCTCGGGAAGTAACACATCTTCCGGATCTGACACAAACTCCGGATCTGGCACATCTTCCGGCTCTAACACCAGTTCTGGCAGCTGGACTGGCTCTGGCAGTAACACATCTTCCGGATCTGACACCGGTAAGTTTACTTATTTAATAATCTACTTCGGGATAGGTATAAGTTCAAACAAAATAGTTATTAAACAGATTTTATTTTTGTTAAAGGCTCCGGATCTGGCACGTCTTCTAGCTCAAACACTAGTTCCGGCAGTTATACCGGTTCGGGCAGTAACACATCTTCCGGGTCTGATACCGGACCTGGTTCCAATACTTCTTCCGGCTCCAATACAAGCTCTGGCAGTTGGACCGGATCTGGAAGCGACACATCTTCCGGATCTAACACTGGCTCCGGATCTGGCACGTCTTCTGGCTCCAACACCAGTTCTGGCAGCTGGACCGGCTCTGGCAGTAGCACATCTTCCGGATCTGGCACAAACTCCGGATCTGGCACTTCTTCCGGCTCAAACACTAGTTCCGGCAGTTGGACCGGCTCTGGCAGTAGCACATCTTCCGGATCTGACACAAGCTCCGGATCTGGCACATCTTCTAGCTCCAACACCAGTTCTGGCAGTTATACCGGCTCGGGCAGTAACACGTCTTCCGGGTCTAACACCGGATCTGGTTCAAACACAGGTATTATTGCACTATCATAATTCATAGTTTCATAACCAAAAGAAGTTCGCGTTCTCAGAAAATAAACTATAACTACCATTTATTTATTTACAGGCTCCAGTTCAAACACTGGCTCCGGAAGCTGGACCAGTTCCGGAAGCGACACATCTTCCGGATCTGGCACATCTTCTGGCTCCAACACCAATTCTGGCAGTTATACCGGCTCGGGCAGTAACACATCTTCCGGATCTAACACAAACTCCGGATCTGGCACATCATCCGGCTCCAACACTTCATCTGGCAGCTGGACCGGCTCTGGCAGTAGCACAACTTCCGGATCTGACACCGGATCTGNCAACACAAATAAAAAAAAAAAAATCAGGTAGGTACATATTATTGATGTTAAATATGGTTCTGTAACAGACCTCGCAAATATATTTCACAGTAACATGAAACTTCTTCCCCTTTTCAGATCAATGTTGGAAAGACGTTGGATAAAAAGGACAATGTAGAAGAGATAAAGAAAAAGGTGAGCTTTATTAGTTTCAATACAGTATTTATTCATATTTTATCCCTTTACACACGACGATACACGTACGTGAGAGTAACTTTGAAAAAATCTCATGCCCATGGTAACTTGTTTTTGCGGCCGCAATCGGCAGCGATCGCTCGTGAGAGATATTTACTCGCACACAGTGCCGCTCATTTAGTGTTGGAACCTGTCAGTGCTCGTTTACTCGGACTTAAAGTTGACTGCATTTTTTGGTACGAGAGGCGGCCAGTGTAAAGATTGATTTTATGTGATTATTGTTGTTTTCGGATAAGTGTTATAGTTTTATTTTATTACGAAAACAGTGATTATCCGAATGGAATACTTTTATTGTTATTTCATTGCATAAATTTATAATTATTACTACCACAAAATTAAGTCGCACGATCGTAGCTGGTCGGTCAAACCTCCAGTAGTTGATTGAAAACTATTTTATTTGTTATTTGATATTATGGCTTAGTGTTTAGTTGTTTTTCTATTTTAGTGCATCCTAAATATGAAGGATGTGTCGTAGCATTATTTGGAAACGCAACCGACTATAAAATCAAAGATTTTCATGACTAAAAAGACCAGGAAACACAATTTCGGGTTTTTACGGACTTTGAAGGGTAGAATACCAAATATGAAAGCTCAGGAGACGAAGTAGACCCTGAACATGAATCAGCAAGGCTGGTCAGACATTTTAAAAATGCTATGTGGCAAGCAAAAGCTGAAACAAAAGCCACGTCCGCAACAAAATACAGGGTCAATTTGGAAGAAAATTCAAACAAATTGAATTAGTACTCCAACTGAGTATCTGAATTGATTATTTTGATGGCACATTTTACAAAGAGATGGCTAGGTGTACAAACTTGCACTACATGCGTTAAATCGATAAAGAATTAAAAACTATTAGAACCGAAATTGCTATAGTGTTCGGTGCACATATTTTCATGAGATGTCTTCCGGACCCATGTTTGCATATGTACTGACACACTAGTATAAAAAATAGGGGCTTATTGCTAACAAAATAGTTCATAACCGATTTGTACACACACGACATTCCCTTTATGTATTTTACCATGAGCATGACCAACTAGCAGAAACAGAACAAGACAACCGATTTGGAAGGTGCAACTCATGATAAATAAAGGATCAATCAATATACATGCAAAGAGGTCCATCTTATTATTCAATCGTTGAACGATATGAGTGGTATAGATATTCTGGACTAACAAATGGAATGCCACCAAACCTTTGTTACAAGATAATAGGGTTTGAAAGTACTAGTTTAAATTTTGGACCTGGCAGTTGTTAATTCGCGGCGGCTTTAGAAAATTGATTGCACAACTAATGGTTATTCAAAAAAAGACGTTTTAGCATTACTAGATTTTCGATTCAGCATAGCTGAGGCTTTAAACAGATATCCTAATAAAGAGCATCGTGTCGAAAATTTACTAAACGACTCGAGATCCATAAACAATATAATATAGACTTTTCAGGTCAGAAGGCAAATAATAACACAGATGAGAACGATTACCTGGCTAAAAAGCACCGAGGTGTTACATGTTGGAAGGATGTTCTAGCTGGTCAAAAATTAAAAGTGCTAAGTGAGATATTTACCTGTGCCTTTCTCGCAAAAAAAGCTGTTGCCAGTCATATCATCTTAGGCCATAAAAATGACATTATTTCTTTATTATTAATTATAAAGTAATTTTGTTCTATTTTACAATCTGTTAATAATCATCTCGGACCTCATATTGGTACCAACCAAACTAATAAAGGTTTTTACTTTGCAAGTTTGTCAAAAGGTGGATATTTTTTAATTAATTCGTTTTTTGTAAGACAATTTGCTAAAAGAGGTTTCATTGCTTGTTAAACTATAACTTACTCTTTACTTATAGGGGTCTCTCACCAAATGAATACTTATGTCCTCATAAATTAGTAGTTTTCATTAAATAAATTAACTAAATAGTATAACACTCACTATCGTGAGACTAACAAATTATACCGAAGCCTCACTGTCGTGAGGGCATACTTTCAGGAAAACTGAAAATTCAAAAATTTTTAAAGTATTTTTCTGATCTTATTTAAACTCTAAAATAACCCCTAAGTCAAGTTTTATTAAAATATTTACACTTTTTTATTCTCGTGTGTAAAGGGTTATATAATTTGTCTCACCTATAAGAGTGGTCAAATAAACGTTTATATCATTTTTCAGGACATAATTGCTTCTCATAGTATAATACATAAAATACCGGATGAGATCTCAGATATTGTAAGTATCATGTACAACAACAATTTATTATCTTTTTAATAATTGTTTCTTTGCCTGGCCCCTTCCCATTTTATTTGTGTCCAGCCCTCCATATCGTGTGTCTCATAATTGTTTATTATTTTAGGGCCCAGAGAGTGAAGTGATAGATGTGGCTCAAGAACCACTTCATGAGATACAAAATACACCCAAGGTAAGGCAAATAAAGGTAGAAATGACACAATCAATTTAAAGTTGTTTATTCATTAAATTATAACAGCCTTCATTGTTTCAGTTTATATCCATTGGTTCGCCAAAAATAAAAACAACGCCTTCTAGGATGAAATCTAATAAACAAGAAAAGGTGAACAAGGTATGAGTATATCCATAAAACTAGAGTATTTATTAAAAAAATGTGTTTTTATAATATGTTAAGATTACTAGCGCAATTACTATCTTCATAACTACTTTATTTCAGGTGTCAACAGCAGCAGCAACTGTAGTTGCGGTAGATACTGAATACAGGAAGCAACTGCATGAAGTCGTATTGGCAAACGAACAAAGAAAAACCCGAAACTTGGACTTGGAAGAATCTTTATTACAGCTGAAAATGGAATATTATAGAAAAAAAATTAAGTTGCTTGAAAATAAAGAAGACAGTAAAGAATAAATAAAAACTTTAACTAGATAAGATACCTACTTATTATTTATCTAAAATGCCTATCAATAAATGCTCGTAAGATAGCACTGTTTGGGCCTCTTTCTCTGTTCTCGTTAACTCGTGGTTCAGCAACAGCATCCTGTATCTCAATAATTTCGTTGCCTTGATCTGGTACCAAGTCCTCATTTCCTATTGCAATATTGTGCAATACTGCAAGTGCGACAATGGTTGGTTTTACATTGTGCATATGCACTGTTAAACCATTTAATAAACATTGAAACCGCTGTTTCCATACACCAAAGCAACGTTCAACACAGTTGCGAGTGGCAATCTGGGCTTGATTGTATCTTTGTTCCTGTTCATTTTGAGGCCTTAATATGGGTGTAAAAAGATATGACTCTAGTCGATACCCAGAATCCCCCAAAAGTCTTCCTCTGAACTCGCCTCGTTCAAAGCGTTCTTTAAGAGTGGACTCATTAAATATTCTGGAATCATGAGTGCTGCCTCGCCACCTTGCAACAATGTCCATTATTTTTAGTTCGGCATCACAAGTTACTTGTACGTTCATTGAGTAATATCCTTTTCTGTTTATATAATATTGAGCTGCGTCACCACCATATTTCTTTATTTTTATATGGGTGCAATCAATACACCCCAGGACAGAAGGAAATCGCCGTATATTGTAAAATTCCCTCATTACTTTTTCTTGTTCTGTCAGTGACTCTGGCATTTTTATATAGGTTTCAGAGTGGCGCGCTATCGCGCGGGCTACTCTGGCACAAATGCGACTTACAGTTGGTTGAGATAACCCATGGATTTCTCCCCCATCATCTTGAACCTAAAATGTTACAAAGAAATTTAAAAACGTCTTTATGTAGGTGTATTAAAATGCGGCATAATTATATTAAATACTTGTAAGTAGAGTACTTACTTCACGACGACCCCAACATCTTATAGCGGTTAACACCTGTAACTCAGGTGAAGTTCCACAACCTCGTGAGTCCAACTGCAAGTCTTGCCTGACGAGATCAATTATAAAGTTCATGGTATTTTTGTTGAAACGGTATCGCCGTTTAAACTCTACATCTGGCAAAGAAAACGGATCACATCTCTCCTGGTAAATCTTTTGACGACGTGGAGCATTTTCTGCTCCTTCAATGCGTTCAATAGCTTCTAATGTTTCCAGAGTTTGCAGAGTTAGCAGAGCTTCCATAGCTAACAAAAAGTACGATATCACCGATCAATTTTATAAACCTTGCAAATAGCCACACAAAAGAGGACGACAACTGTTACAAACCTCAAGTCAAAACGGTTCGGACTCACTCGTCTGTTCGGGCCGGACGCAAAAAAAATCAGCTGTTGCACATTTTGTCGGCCATATTTCTCTTTATTAGAGGTTTAAAGTACAGTTGCCGCGAATACTCGCTATTATTCGGTATTCGGCATTACTCGACATTTTTTTGATATTCGTCGAATACCGAATAATAGCTAGTATTATTCGGCATTTGGCGAATAGTCGTCTAAAATAAACTTTAAGTAAACAAAAAAACTAATGAGTTAAAAATAATCATATTTTTATTAATTTCCCTAATAAAACAATACACAATATCAATTATTATTTGCAAAATGTACCTGTGCCTATCATATTCATGATATTAAATTAGTTAGGCTTTTTAATTAATATTTAAAATCCAACAGAGGCAGATTGTGGTGCAAAAAAACTTTTTTTTTCTGCACGTTCGGGAGCAAGTCGGTTTCGTTTTTCCTCGTAAATTAAACCTGCCTCGGAAAATAGTCTTTCTGAATAAACAGAGCTTGCTGGTGTGATTAAGTATCGTTTAGCAAGTTTACTTAATATAGGAAATCTATTCTTATTGGTACTCAAAGTGCACCATTCATATGGGTTTATTTTTCTGTCAGCCTTTGCTAATGCGATTTCTTCAGCAGTGGCATTCTTGGGGTGCTCTTCAGTAGGTTGCTGATGATTCTTCAAAAAAATAATGTAAGAGTTTCCGAATCGATATGCTCACTTTCATTGACCTTTTGGATGCCGTTTCTGGATCCGAATCATCATTTTCGTCATCTAAAGAAAGCCTAAGACAATCTCTGAGCACAACTCTACGGATCCGTTCAACTTGGGTAGAGTCAAAGTAAAAGTCCTAGTAGCGGGGGTCTAAAAATGTCGACAAGTAATATGTCTTCCTAAAGCATAGATCGTCCAAGTTAAAACGGGCTTCCATATTTACTATCAACGCTTTCTAAAATCATCAACGTGTGCAGTTTGAATTTCTAAAAGCCTAATCCTGTACAAATTAGCGATTTAAACAAAAATGGCGGGAATCTTCTTCGGCTAACCAGGTTCCAGGGTCGTGAAATGATCAAGACTTCTTGCGGTTACAAAGATTTACTTGATGACGTAAAATTTACAAATGATATGAGTAGGCTAGGGTACGTGCGTCGTGCCCGGCGGTTTGCGGCGAGTGGCGAGTGGAGCCGAGGGCGTTATCGTTGTCGGTCGGCGGGCGGCGGGCAGCGCGGCGTCCAGTTTGCGGGACCGGTTTTCTGCGCCGGCGCGCGATTGGCGTTAACAAGTTCCCCGGGTTGGAACGTCTAGTTCCAAAATATCCTCGGTTGGCAGCAAGCATAATCTATTGTATGCTCTTCTCAGCACTCCAGTTGCGGTGGTGACGTCTGCTACGCGTGCGATGCCATCGCAGCCAGGGTAGAGGCGGGTGACACGTCCGAGCAGCCAGCGGTTAGGTGGTAGCCGGTCGTCCTTTACCACCACCAGGTCTCCAGTGCGCAATTCTCCTCCATTGCTGCGCTTCCATTTCAGCCTCTTTTGTAAATCTGAAATATATTCCATGTAGTATCTATTCCAGAAGTGCTGAGTCAGGATCTGAGCTCTCCGATATCGAGGCAGGGCGCATATTCTGGTCGTTTCTTCCAGATCCATCTGTGGAGAAGGCAACATCGTGAGTGTGCGTCCGATAAGGAAGTGTGATGGGGTTAATGGAATAAAGTCGTTGGGATCTGAGGAGAGGGGGGTCAATGGACGAGAATTTAATATTCCTTCGATACCTACAAGTACCGTATACATCTCCTCATACGTTAAATTTGCAAGTGAGAGAACTCTTTTTAAATGGTGCTTAATTGCCTTTACTGAAGATTCGGCTAAGCCGTTGAAGTGAGGACTATAAGCAGGAGAGAATCTAAATTGAATTGACTGCTCCGCTGATTTCGAACTAATGTCATCACAATTTGACTTTAAAAATTTTGAAATTTCATTAGCGGCTCCTACAAAATTGGTACCATTATCGGAATGAATTAAGTCAGGCTTACCTCTGCGAGCTACAAATCGATTTAAAGCAGCCAAAAATGCTTCAGTACTTAACTCGGTTACCAATTCCAGGTGTACTGCTCTCACAGCTAGGCAAACAAATACACAAATGTATGATTTGATCAATTTGCATCCTCTACCTTTTCTGTCCGCTAGCATAATAGGGCCAGCATAATCTACTGCTACATTGGAGAATGGAAATTGACTATGAAGTCGTTCTCTAGGCAAGTCAGCCATTATAGGCTGTATGGACTTTCCAGCAAATCTACAGCAGGCATGACACTCATGCGTTATTTTTCTTAACAAATTGCGACCTCCTATTATCCAAAATTTATGTCTTAAAATAGATAACATTAACTGAGGACCTGCGTGCATAAGTATTTTGTGATAATGTCTAAATAACAACCTAGTAACGTGGTGAGATGCATGGAGCAAGATGGGATGCTTTGTGTCATAGTCGTAGTTGGAATTTGACAACCTTTCACCTACACGAATTAAGTTTTCATTTGACATGAAAGGATTTAAATTCAAAATTTTAGATTTAACTGGCAGTTGTTTATTTTTAGTTAAAATATTATGCTCATGTGAAAATGCATCCAACTGTACTATTTTACATAAAGTAAGCGTGGCAGAGTTTAATTCGTTTATTTTTAAATGACCGGTGAATCTATTTCTTGGGTTTTGGCAATTATTTATGAATCGTAATAAGTATGCAGTGATTCGATTCAATTTAGCAAAATTTGAGTAATTTTGAGTGTAGTTATTTTGTTCGGTGGCAACTTTGCATTCGACTTTTATCTCTGGCAAAGAGCTGGGCATGTAGTTGGGTTGAATAGGCCATTGAGATTCCGACTGTATTAAAAATGACGGGCCACTAAACCATATCTGAGAACCACTCAATTGATTTGCATTACATCCCCTAGATCCTATGTCGGCCGGGTTTAAATTGGTTGGCACGTACCTCCAGGCGTGGGAATCGCTATGTTCAGTGATTTCGTTTATTCNTTTAGTACGCGATTTATTTTGTTGTAAAGAGTTACAGAATGTGCTACATGCATGGAGCAAGATGGGATGCTTTGTGTCATAGTCGTAGTTGGAATTTGACAACCTTCCACCTACACGAATTAAGTTTTCATTTGACATGAAAGGATTTAAATTCAAAATTTTAGATTTAACTCGCAGTTGTTTATTTTTAGTTAAAATATTATGCTCATGTGAAAATGCATCCAACTGTACTATTTTACATAAAGTAAGCGTGGCAGAGTTTAATTCGTTTATTGTTAAATGACCAGTGAATCTATTTCTTGGGTTTCGGCAATTATTTATGAATCGTAATAAGTATGCAGTGATTCGATTCAATTTAGCAAAATTTGAGTAATTTTGAGTGTAGTTATTTTGTTTTGCATTCTTTGCATTCGACCTTTATCTCTGGCAAAGAGCTGGGCATGTAGTTGGGTTGAGTAGGCCATTGAGATTCCGACTGTATTAAAAATGACGGGACATTAAACCATATCTGAGAACCACTCAATTGATTTGCATTACATCCCCTAGATCCTATGTCGGCCGGGTTTAAATTGGTTGGCACGTACCTCCAGGCGTGGGAATCGCTATGTTCAGTGATTTCGTTTATTCCTCTTCCCTCTGTGGTGTTGTTGAGAGCGGACGTGTGTTCGGCTGTCCCGCAATAAGGCTCAAATCTGCACAACAAATTGAGCTTGCGCGTATACTTTCTAACGTGCTTCAAGGACACGGACGCAAGCAGCGACGCGAGAACGAAACAGCAGCGGTGGCTAATATTGCTATCCTTTTCTCGATTGAATAACGCTACGATTGTGCTGCTACGATCCTCTTTATACTACGAAAATAATATATTGATGCGATCGTAGGCCATACCACGGGAACNATTTACTCGTAGCTTAACTTTATACCTAAGTCACGTTTCCAATAGATAGATAAAAAGTACTTAGTAATTGTCTAGTCAGTTCTCGTTAAAGTAAATTCATCAATATTAAAAACAAGTCGATAATGTAAAAGTATTAATTAACATTACATAGCAACCTTGTATAATCTAGATTCTAGATCGTTCAGTTCTTGAATTTAATCTCGTTAAATATCACATATCAACAACCTATAACTATTAATAACATTACATAGTAGCCCTGTATAATTTAAATAGTTCTAATTAATCTCGTTAAATAACTATTGACGCAAAACGCAGTGTTATTTACTCGTAACTCGGAACCTAAACTCACATAAATAACAAACCGGTTTGTTACGCGCCAATAGTACTACCGGAGGATGACCGCTAGAGGTCACTGCTCGAACATCGACTCCGTAAATAAACTTGATTTAAAAATGTAAAAGTAACTTAAACCAAATGATTTTGGACTAAAATCAGTGTAAACAATGTAATGAACAAGTGAAAGTGTTATCTCAGTGCAAAAGTCCGGATTGTTATAGAAAATTGACAATGTTTACTAAAGTGTCAAAACGAATATATTCTACCACAAACAATATCTAAATACATAAAAACAGTGTAAAAACTATTAAAAACCAAAGTCTGTGTCGAAAAACTAATAAAAACTGTGATCTATACATACTAATGTGAATTAATATTAAGTGAACGGTAGTGAAATAAATTCAACAACGATACTGCCGAATTTAAAAAGTGACTGTTATTGTGTGAAAGAACTGATACTTAAATTCGCGCACTTGTACTAACTACGTTTGGCTCAACTGTGCACAGCACGGTATTGCGCCGCGCCGTCCCAAGGACTCCGGGTTCGAACCTCATCGGCTCCCTCATTTTTGAATTGAATAATACCTACTTTGGTGTATTTCTATAAATTATCATCAAGAGATGGCGGCCCCGGGTATGAAATGTTCTGGTTGTAAACAACTAATAACAGATAAATATTTCTTAATATGCTGTCTATGCAAGCAGGCATATGATTTAGATTGTGCAAATGTTTTTGAAAGGAGATTCATAAATACAATGACTAAAGAACACAAA